TTTACTTTTATAAAATTGCTCTTACAGTCTGCAAAAAATAATAAGCCGCATCCAATTTGAAGATTAAGGAACAACGCAATCATCAACATTAAGTGAAATAGACAATTAGATAATTTTAGCTTATACCGTCCGTTATACATTAAACGCGCATGCGAAAACGTATTCTGCGCTTGCGCACATGCATATGCGCAGTCGTAAAGGTCTTACGCGCACGCGTAAACGCCTATGCGCATGTGTCAACGCAGAGCATGCACAGAAAGATTTTAGCTTTGAGGTCCGGATTATGGGTGTCCGAATTAACGACTTTTGACTGTATTTAGTTTCACTTAATGTCAGCTGAGTTTTTACAATAACTGGCAATAACTCAGCAATTCGTTTTTACCACAACTGAAATCTGCCATTTTAACAAATTTCTGTTTCCTCATACAGTATTTTGTAAATTAGAAGTGCCGGAGCCTTATGGAGGCCTGCCAGCAAAGAGGAAGAGTAAAGAAATAAATAAAATGACTATTAAACTCATTAATAATTTTAAAATTAAATAAATAATTATTATCAAATTAATTAATAGCTATTTAATTAATGTTTATTGATTGTTATTTAATTGATAATTATCATATAATTATTTATTAAAATAATTAAAGATTAAATTAATTAATTAAATAAAATTAAATGTAAACAGATAAATTAAAATTTAATAAGCAAATTTTAATACCATTTTTATTTTTTAAAAATAAAATTTTCGAGATAAAATTTCTACTGAAATTGTTATTCAATTACATAAAAGAAGTGTCTCAGTCTTCTAATTTAGGGCTCCGGTGCACTCTGGTTAAAATTACGATTTATTACAAAAAATACAAAAACTAGAAATACCAGAGTCGGGCTCCATTGGACTCGGACCTAATTTAACCTCTGATCGTAGGGGATGAGTTCTTTTAAAATCACAAAAATTAAATATACTTAAAATATAGCTGATAAAAATTCAGATAATGCTAAAAAAAAGGCAAAACAGAATGAGGACAAGAGGGTATGAGTGGGTGGAAACAAAAAATGAGAGGTAATCTTGGTGGCGAGAGAGAACGTTCTCTTTGACCTTGGCTCTCTGCTGATACAATTATAGCCATCAAGCGGATGTGTGTCAGGGGTAAAACGAGTCCTGAATCTGACTCCTAAGGATGAATGTAAAGTTGCTGGTTACACTTTTCACCCTCTGCATTTGGTTACATTAGTGGATATTGTGGGAAGATGATGTGTGATTGTGAGAAGATGTGCTTGAGCAGCTTATCTCAGTATTTCAGTCTTATTGTACACGCTGTCACTTAATGCACATTTAAGAATACAAATTTTCCTTCCTGCGAGGATAAGTAACTGTAAAAATCGATAACAATACACTTCATGGCATGGCGAGAAATTTATGTGTTCCTAAACAAACTCCCTCAAATTTATTGCCCTTCTTAAACGTTTCCACCTGTCAGTGGGGGAACTTTACTTGAATGTCTCATGTTCTTATGAGTTTGTATTTCAAGGAAAATACAGTATTGCAAGGTCTGCTTATTGTTAAACTAAAATGTTAGAAATTCTAATTTTTTTCCCTTGAAATTTAAAATTAAAAGTTTTATAAAAAGAAGTACCAGAGCTCATCTTATTTAAGGCTTCGGTGCACTCTGGCTAGAATTGTAGTTTATCTTAAAAACTGAGAAATATCGGAGCCAGGCTCTGGCGCAATTTAAGCACTGATGATACAGATAACTAGCTCATGATTCAGTGAAATTTTATACATTTTACTTCTTCTAATTACATAAATTTAACATTTTTACTTATTTTCTGTTAAAAGATAACATTTTATAAGTATTTCATTATGGTTTATAAGAAAGGTTTAATTTCTCTGCAAAGAAAATGATCACTTTATGATTCAGCGAATTTTATTTCATGTATTTTGAATTTTGTCACAAATCTGAGAAGAAAATTAAAATAATTTTTTATTTAGGTCAATAAATTACTTCAGTTCAAATGATGACAGAAGTTTTCAGAAAGAAAGCAATAGTGATACAGCCAAATAAAAAGTTAATACCGTTCCCCTTAATGGAAATGATTATGTTAAAAAATGAATCAGAACTAATTTTTTATGCCTCAATATACTCTTAATAAAATAAAAAATAAAAAGAGAGAGCAGCAGATTAGAATACTTCAAAACGATATAGACATTACAGGCACACACCTGCCCATTAACATTAAATTTATTGGAAGATGCATCTTTTAATGGTATTCGCAAATTGAACAATAGGGAACAGCTTTAGTATTGGTCTTTTTGGCGATTTTTTTATTTGGCGACAAACTTCGGTCGCCAAGGTAGACCCGGTTTTGAAGATCGGAAAAAAATGGCGGATTGTCAACAAAACCCGATCTAGACTAAATAACAATCCTAAAAAATAAGCTCTTAATCAGAATAAACAGTCTTTCTCTAATTTTCAATATTTCTAGTACTGCTATGATAAATTCTTGAAACACTACTGTAAATGTATGACAATTATTATGTTATGAGTAATGAAATTTACAAAATGTTAATATTTTTAATTACAAAATATAATGTATTAAACATTAATATTTTAAGTAGTTAGTTCATATTTATATTTTATTATATTAGTACTTAGCTAATATTTTAAATTTACAAAAGGTTAATTTTTTATGTTAATGAATAATGAAATTCACAAAAGGTTAATAAATGCATTTCAAACTAGTATATGTTACTTTAGTTTCTTAGATTCTGTTATTAAAAGAAAATAAAAAAAATATTTCAAAGTGAAGAAAATCAAATTCAATTATAATGGGCAAGTTTTGTACCAGTGTTAGAAATATTTTTTATGATTAAATATTGTAAATGGTAAAAATATTAAGAAGTGTGTATTTTTTAATCCCTCAATTTATTACAAGTAATTTATGATTATAATTTAAAAGCTAAAATTAAATTATCATAATGAGTAAATTTTGTACCAATGGTAATAATACAACAATCATCGCAAATGATGATTTCTGTGAAAAATTCGAACAGTCATTGGAATCCACTAGTGGTGGAGTGATAACCACTGAACAGTGGTAGTTCAGGCTGGCTATATGGGAGTTTTAGTAGTTTTTTTCGTAGATGTAATGTGAATCTGAGCCAGTTTCTCTTAAAAAGTACTTTATGAAGGCATCCTTCTTCTGCTAGCCAGCATATGTATTTATTTTCTATTTATAATTCTCTCTTATTTTCTTATTTCTTAATTCTAAATCTTACTTCTGAAGAGAAAAAGTGTTGCATCTATAGGTCGAAAAATATGGTCAATATGTTTGCAAAATCCTGTCAGTTTTGGAAAGCATTTAAATAAACTAAATAATTTGTATGTGATGCAAACAAAAATGCATTACACTATTTCATGTACTGAATAATTAATCAGGGAACAAAGTATATTGTAACGTTCCTTTATTTTGTAACCAGAGTTATTTTATGCTTGGGATCTTTACTGTCAATTTCCTCCGTCCGATCCGTTTTCTCACCAGAATCCAATGAAGTTTTTATTTTGTAAAACAAACCGTGTTTTGCCTTTTGAGGCCACATTAATAGGTTGCTAGATAAGAAAAGATTTGTAGTCTTCAGCCTTGCATTATAATTGCTGATAGTTGAATTCCATGCCAGTTAAGTTTTTAACCAACTTTGCATTAAATTGATTTGTGCAGCCTCTGGGCTACAAATTTATTTGAATTTAAATTTTACATTTGAACTTAATTGTTATCATAAGTTATCTTCTCACAAGTGGTTGACTGAGTCGTAAGCACAGTGTGCCTTCTGTTCTGTACATTTAAACTTTATAATAGAATAAAAGTATATCTTAACTTAATAAGAATATATCTAAACTTTATGATAATAACATTTAAAGACACTGAAATCAGTATCTAAGTGCTTGCCATGTAGTCAAATTTTTATATATAAATTGTACTCTTACTTTTATTATAGTTTTTATTACAAAAAATTCAGATTTCTGTTAGATAAAATGTTTAAGTAATGTAGAAAATTTGCATAAAATTTAAAATAAAAAGTCGACTGTTATGTCAACATACTATTAATAAAAAGTAATAATACTCAGTGAAGGTTATTCATATACAGCTGTTAGGTTGTAAGATTTACAAAATTTGAGAACTCTAAATTATAAGCAATATATTCCATAATCTAAGCAACATTATATTTTTTATAGTCAGACAAATTATGAAAATGTTATAAAAGCAATAATGAAACCTGATTTTGGTCCTGATTTGAACCTATGAATTCATGCAATTACACATCCCTATAGTTCTAATATGAGGTAAATAAGTATTTTTAGACCATGGTAATTTTGATCTTAGCAAAGGAAACACCAAGAGTTTACCTCATGCTACTGAAAATGTGTTTTTTTTTTCCCTTGGGGGGGGGTGGAGTTTATAATAATATGCAGAGTTGACATATGAAAAAATGTCAAGACTCATGTGATGTAATATTAAAAGCACCAGTTTTAACTATCAAAAATTTGGCTTTTTAAAAAATATTTTAAATGTTGTGCTTTCCTAAAACAAAAGTAGCTTTAAGAAAAACACACAATTTATCCCTCCTGCCATCAAAGCTCTGATACCTATCAAATTCGTTAAAGTTACGTGGACAGAAATGGCGGCATGTTTGAAGCTCAGCATTTAGGGTTACCAAGGTTATCATAATTTTTCATTTATCGCTCCAAAATGTCGCCAAACAAATTTCTCGCCAAAAAGGACTAATATTATAGCTGTGCCATAGCAATTAATGTCCAGAATCAATAATTTATGTAGCATAATATTTAAAAATTTTAATACTTGAGCATTATTAAAAGATTAACAGTTCAACGAATAATAGAAACACATAAGAAGTTATAGCATTACAACTACTTATTATACGAAGATTTTTAAACCCCATTTATGTATCGATGTAAAAGATCACAGTTAGTTAAATAGCGTATAATTACCTGATTCATTCCAGCATTAGCAAAAAGGAGAGTTGGATCATCGTGAGGAACAACAGGAGAAGAATGAACATATACGTGGTCGTACTTCTCAATAAAAAAACGCAAAAACTGCTCTCTGATTTCCGTTGATGTTGGTAAATTAGCATTCATATTTGCCTGTAAATAAGAAATGATAAATACATCTGAATATTAATTAAGGATTTGCTGAAACGTGTAAATAATTCAAATGCTATCATTCATATCGAAAACTTCATGCCGAATAACTAAAATAAAATATTAAATAAAGGTGACCCGTGCACTAAATCTCAACTATCAATCGATGCATAAAATGTCAGATTGCAATTTCTAAAACAGCTGTAAATAAAGAAAACAAAAACAAACTGATTAATAATACCTATTTAATTTTCAAATAATATTTAGGTTGACAAAACACGTTACGTTGCGAAAGTGAAAACTACCGGGAAAGAGGCGAGTTGTAGATGACTGAATCCTTCTATAATAATACTTGAGGTTTAAAGGCCCGTCCACACGAGTACGCTCGAAACGTAGCTGACGAACGCGCTTTTACGTTACCAGAGTAAAAGTGTCCTAACGAGTGCGCTTGTTTAACCAATAGAATTATTTTGCGCAAAAATCACGTGACGCTGTAATAAAGCATTCACAGAGCTGTATCTTATTACTTTGCTGTTCTATATGTTTGCGGCAAGCTGACCGAAAACACCCCTGCTGGAACCGAGGACCTGCTAACAAAAAAAGAAATGACATATTTAAACTCATTCAATCAAATAATTATAACATTCATGCACCAGACGAGCCCACCCATTACAGGTACAATAGCGCACCACAATGGACTTCTTCATCTCAAATAACATTACTAACAGGTGCAATATCTCTGTAATTTCAGCCCTGTCTTCCGACCACAACCCCATTGTATTTGAAATCCCCATTAATAAATACCTCCCCTCACTTGACAGAAGTATAGGAGTTACAAATTGGATCAAATACTCTGAAATTCTGAATAACCCCATACAAGGTAACCCATGCATCAACAACAAAGAAGATTTAGAACACGAAGTCTCAAAATTTACCAACTGCATCAATTCTGCTTTAAAGGAAGCCACCAGTACTTTTTATGTAAACAAGCCTTTCCTTTCCCTGCCTGACGATATAGAAATAATATTAAAGAGAACAACCGGATCCGTAAAGATGGAAAACCACCAGAATCCACACTCAACACAACTCTATCAAAAGAAATCAACAGAAGAATCAGAACTTCAAAACCAAAAATGGAAATTCCTAAAATATATAGAGAACATCCCTTTTGACATTCCGTTCAAGAACCTTAAACTTCCCATCCCCAGTCGAATTTCATATATATCTTATTATAGGGTACACTTTTAGCTTTTAGAAACTATTTATTTACAATCTTAGAATGTATAATCACAGAGAACTGAAATACCAGCATAGTTCTATTTTTCAAATCTGTATCCAAAGTGTTGCCAATTACAAGTTACTAAATATTAAATGTTACCATTTACAAATTATTAAATATTACATCTTCCGTTTTTTTTAAAGAGTTCAAAAGTTTTAACAGTCTAAAATCAGTCCAAATACCTGGCCGGCTTTCTAATCACTCTCCCACTTCTAGTTCTTAGCTCACCGTTCCTTGTTTCTGAGTTAGCAGAGTTTGGTAGTTGATCTTCTAAACTTTGCCCTTGAGAATATCTGGAATCATATCCTTTTACATCTGTTTTCTGTGTATTAACTCCTTGTTCTGTTCCTCTGATATTCTCATCAACAGCTGAACTGTTTTCTCTAATATCTTTTCTATTTCTTCTCAATACTGATCCACCTGATCTAAGTATATATGATCTAGGCGTCTTATGCACTTCTTCTACAACTGCTGGTTTCCAGCGATTATCGTGATATATCCGAACACAATCTCCTTTATTTAGTGATGGTAATGTTTTTGTATGACGATCATAATATGACTTCTGTTTAGTTCTTTCTTGGTTGATTTTTTTTTTTTTTTTTTTACATTTTTCACAACTTGAGGTTTAAGTAATTCTTCAGATGTAGGAAGAATTGTTCTTGTTCTACTCATAAGTCGTTGAGCTGGTGATCCTAGCATCTCATTTGTTGGAGTGTTCCTATGAGCTAACAAAACTAAATAAGGATCAGCATGATCTGCTTGAGCTTTCTTTAACAATTTCTTCGCCGTTTGTACTGAACGCTCTGCTAATCCGTTCGACTGTGGATGGTATGGACTGCTTGTTATATGTTTAAATAGGTATTTCTTTGCAAATTCTGAAAATTCTTTACTTGCAAACTGAGGTCTATTATCAGATATCACTATCAATGGTATACCGTATCTTGCAAAATGAGATTTCATGTAACTGATCACTGTGTGACTTCGAGTATCCGGTAGTTTGGAGATTTCAAAAAAGTTGGAATAGTAATCTACAATTAATAAATATACATCTTTGTTAATCTCAAATAAATCTGTCGCAACTTTATACCAAGGTAAATTGGGAATTTCATGTGGTATCATAGGCTCTCTTATGTTTTTGTTCTGGTATTCATTACATATAGAACATTTTGAAATTTTATCTTCTGTCTGCTTGTTCATAAGCGGCCAAAACATCTCTAGCTCTTTTCTTACATTTTTCTATACCAAAATGACCCTCATGAATTAAATTTAACATTTCCTTTTGCATAGATAAAGGAAAAATTACCCTTCCTCCTTTGAAAAATAAGTCATTTTCCATTGTCAACTCATCTCTGTAGTCCCAAAATACTTTGACTTGAGGTTCTACCTGATGTTTCCTTTCTGGCCAGCCTCTCAGAATATATTTCTTTAAGCACTGTAGTGTAGCATCACATTCACTTTCTTTCTTCAATGCATAAATTTTGTCATCAGATGCTGGAATCAGTGTACAAATTTCTGTATCTTCATCATTATCTTCTGTTGTATTGTATTGTTGTATTCAAATTTGCTCTACTCAAAGTGTCTGCTATTAATAAGTCTTTCCCCTTTTTGTATCGTACATCTAGATCATATTTTTGTAAATTTAACAGCATTCTTTGCAATCGCTGTGGTGCTTTAAAAAGAGGTTTCTTAGTTATGCTTTCTAATGGTCGATGATCAGTTTCAACTGTAATACGTTTGCCATATATATATTGATGAAATTTAGAACATCCAAAAGTAATAGCTAAAAGCTCTTTTTCTATCTGAGCATAATTTTTCTGACTTTTTGTTAGAGCTCTGGAAGCATAAGCAATTGGTTGGTTTTTTCTTGTAACAGCACCTAATCCTTCAGAACTTGCACCTACTGAAAGAGTTACATCCTTATTAACATCATAGAATTTTAATACGGGTGCTTTTGCAATCAATTCTTTAAGTGTTTCGAAAGCTTTTTGATGCTTTTCAGTGCCAGAGGACATTTTTCTCAAGTAACTGTCTTAATGGTGCAGTAATAGTACTTAAGTTAGGAATAAATTTGGCTAAATAATTAATCAATTCCAAAAATCTTTGTAGCGAAGGCACATCTGTAGGTTCTGGCATTTTAACAATTGCTTCCACTTTAGAAAAATCAGGTTTTAGTCCATTTTCACTTAACTCGTGCCCTATATAATTCACACGATTAACTTTTATTTTACATTTAGCCTTATTGAACTTCAAATTATTTTCTCGTGCTCTCTGGAGTACTTTTTTAAGTCGTAGCTCATGTTCCTTTTCATTACATCCCCATATTAAGATATCATGTATAATACATTCAATGCCTTCTAGACCTTCTATTATTTGGCTGAATTTTCTTTGGCAAATTTCTGGAGCTGAACATATGCCAAAAGGTAATCTTTTAAATTTGTATCTGCCAAAAGGTGTATTGAATGTACACAAATTACTACTTTCTTCGTCAAGCTGGATTTGCCAAAAAGCACTATTAGCATCTAAAACAGGAAATATTTTTGCGTTAGGCATTCTAGTGACAACTTCGTCAATGGTTAACATCAGATAATGTTCTCGTTTTATAGCTTTATTTAAATCTCTAGGATCTAAACATATTCTTATTTTGTTCGGTTTGACAACTGTGACCATTGAATTTACCCATTCAGTTGGTTCTCTTACTTTCTCAATAACATTTAAATTTTCCATTCTTTGTAATTCTTTCTTAACTTTATCACGTATAGCTATGGGTATTTTTCTTGGAGGATGAATGACTGGTGTTACATCTTGTTTTAACTGGATTTTATATTCTCTATTCAAACAACCTAAGCCTTCAAATACATCTTTGTATTCCTCCAGTAAGTCTTCAGTGTAAACAGACATTACTTTCTGAATCAAACCTAGTTGCAAACATGATTTTAATCCTAATATAGAAGGTACTTCATTGTCAATAACTTGGAATTCCACAACATAATTATTTTTTCCATATTGGCAGTTAAGTACTACTTTTCCTAAAGTATCCATTTTATTCCCACAGAATGTAACTAATCTTTTCATTTCAGACTTCTGTATCGGAACATTTAGCAATTTCACTTTGGTTTTAGAAATAACATTGCGCATTGCTCCAGTATCTAACTGCAAATTTAGTTTACTTTTATTTACATTAACGTCAACAGTCCATTTCTCTTCCTTGTTATCTGAATTAAGGTTTAATGTGCCAACATAAAATTCTAACTCTTCCTCAGAGTCATGATTTATTAATTTAATTTGTCTATCTTTTTTGTTTACCTTGACTGCTTCATTTTTTATTATATTGCTTTTACACTGACTCGCGAAATGATTTGCCTTTTTACATTTATGACAGATTTTTCCATATGCTGGACACATTCGATACTCATGAGATGTTCCACATTTAGAACAAATTTTTGTCTATTGTTTATCGGTATTTACCTCTTTGTAAGTATTCTTATTATGTTTACTTAGTTTCTTTTTCACTAAGTTTACAGCAGTTTCCTCATCTTTTATGATTTTCATTTGATGTGCACTTATTTTAGCAGATCTGCATATATCAAGAGCTTTTTCTAATGTTAATTCTGTTTCATGTAACAATCTTGCTCTCACTATATCATCTTTAATACCACAAACAATTTTATCCTTTATTAAACTATCCGTTAATTGTGCAAACTCGCATGTTCTAGCTTTATTTCGAAGGTCAGTTACGTATTCATCTATGGTTTCTGACGCGGTTTGATTTCTAGTAAAGAATAAATGTCTTTCATATGTAATATTTTTCTTAGGAATACAATATTCCATAAATTTTGTTTTAATTTCACTTAATTTAATTTCTTTACCCTCTTCTATAGGAAATGTATTATATATTTAGAGACTACAAATTCCTATTACATGAAGAAAAGTATCAACTCTTACCTTCTCTTCATTATTATGTAATTCACTAGCTACTTCATATATTTCAAATGATTGCAGCCATCTCTGCCAATTCCAAGCTAGATTTCCATCAAATTTCATCGGCTCTGGTGGTTTTAAACTTTCCATTTTGAAAGCAAAACACTCCTGACACCATATAAAATTATGAGGGTACACTTT